ATATATATATGTATATATAAATATATATATATATATATATGTATATATCAGTTGAACACCAGTAAGGTGGAAACGAGGAAAAAGTTAAGTATCCCCAATAACTCCATACAAAGTAATATCTAGATAGATGAGGGAGGTAAAAGAAAGGACAGATGAGTGGTTGAAACCATTGGGGACCGGCCTGATAAAATGGTGTTGTACTACATTATCCAGTCAAGGACATGCAGTCGCTTTGCCCCGCATTCACTGCGGTAAAAACCAAGACACCCCACTTGAGTCGTCAAGTAATGTTGCAATGTGACTTTTCCTACAAGCAAAGATTCATAAAACATCCGATGCACTCATTGGGGTTTTGGGATGTAACATCTGCAGGGTCAACAACCATCTGTCCCGCTATAAGAACAGGAAGCATCAAATAAAGTCATTTGTAGTAAACCATGAAATAGCTCTGGAAAAAATGTTGTCTGAAGCAGAGAAATGTTTTCGATTTGGTTATTTATGGCGGCATTAAGAGGCCATTACCAAAGCGTGCAACATCAGCATGTGCTTTCTGGAGCGTTCAAGCCCAGCTCTGATCCTGATAACACTGCGACAAAGAGCAGGCAACATCTTCACTTTCAAACACACACACACACTTCCAGAAGCTCTTCTCTGTGAAGGGCACTCACTGCAGAACACACACACACACACACACACAAAGTGCTGTACCAGTCTCAGTGAATTACACTGAGCAGTCCCTCTGAGCAATCAACAATTACCATTAATGTCAAGCTCCAATTCATTCATCACTTACCACACTTAATATCAAACAATTAAACACCTCGTTCAAGCAAAGACACACACAGCGCAACAGCTCAGTGAAACACCTCAACACCTAAACAACAGTTTAAAACATTTTGTAGCTGATATTTTAATGCCATGAACAAAACTTTATGATTAGTTGTGGGAGTTTTTGTAGGGAGTTACACTCTTGAATCTATCGTCCATAAGATGCATGAAAATAACTTTTAACATTTATGACAATTTATAATAATAGTGCTATCTATCTATCTATCTATCTATCTATCTATCTATCTATCTATCTATCTATCTATCTATCTATCAACATGAAATACAACACACGACTCTAAATTAATATATTAAGTCCAAAAGCATAACGCAACTCCTTTAGAATTAGAAACTGTGGAAGACATGATTAGAAAAAAAGATTTTTTAAAACAGGGGAAACTGCCGCAATAAGAAGTCAATTTGACAAGAGAAAATTGCGGTCATCTCACTATCTGCTCATCGGCAGTTTTTTTCCCAGGGAATCCACTTTGTGTGAGGCAGCACTTAATCCGTGGCACTTAATATAGGTGGTGATAAAACAGTATTACGGGCTAACTGACTGATAACTGATAAGCAGTCGTCTTAATCGGGATTTATTAGTTCTGAGAAGAAAGTTGCGTTCAAATCAGGACGGAGATCAACTTTCTCTCGGCTCTTCCTGCAGCAGATCCCAGCGGAGCTTTACAATGATCCTGAACCCAGAGGAAACAGCAGCAGCAGCAGCAGCAAGCAAACTCAGGTACTCACAGATGCAGAGATGCTCGGAAACTCCGACAAAAATCCTCCAGCGATTGACAGCGAAGAGAGAGAGGGAGAGAAAGAGAGGGAGATACCGTCAGCTAATTGTGCTGTGAATGCCGCAGTTATCTCAAGGGTTTTCCCTCACTTATTCCCTTTACACAACTTCCAAAAGATTTGCTTTATGAAATCACTTGTCTGAGATTTGAGCCAATCGCCGCACAGCGTGTGGAATATTTAAACGGACAGCCAATAACGGAGCTGGGAACCGGTGGGTGGGCGTGTCCCCAGGTGTTGATTATGATATGGCAGCGGGGCGCAGCTGAGAAGAGGATGCGGAGCTTCCTCGGTTCGGTTGAGATGCCCTGACTCCTGTTCACGTGCGATTAGGCTGCCATCCTCTTTTTTTCTTTTTTATAAAGTGTTATGAACGTGTGTTTTGGACTGGATTAAATTTGTAATTTTATTTATTAATAGTAAATAATTAATTTAATTTTCCCGCTCTTTTATTTACTTATAGGCTAAATGATACCCAGAAGTCTTTTTCTTTTTGTAAAGTAAGCAAAGTTTCTGACAAGAATAAGAAATAAAAGGGGACTTGAATGAAAACCATCAGAGCAGGAATGCCAGAGGTGTCAGAATATGTATCTTTAAATGTAGAGGTAGATTATTTCTGTGGGCATCACACAGTAACTCCCAGGTAAACCACATTGCAGTTTTCAAGGGTAAAATCTTGATGCATAGGCAGCTGTGTAGTCTAAATCTGTATTTAGAGGGCCAGTGACCTGAATGGCACCTGATATGGAAGAGTTTAGCAACCTGTGTGGTTTACATGTTCACAGTCAAGTTGTCACTCCATATCTATGCGCTGGCATCAGTATGACTCTGTACGCTGCAGTTTGTAAACAAAGCGTTAAACATAACCAGCCTATGTTTTCAATAACAGTTCATAGACACAAAT